CTTCTTCTTCTTCTTCTTCTTCTTCTTCTTCTTCTTCTTCTTCTTCTTCTTCTTCTTCTTCTTCTTCTTCTTCTTCTTCTTCTTCTTCTTCTTCTTCTTCTTCTTCTTCTTCTTCTTCTTCTTCTTCTTCTTCTTCTTCTTCTTCTTCTTCTTCTTCTTCTTCTTCTTCTTCTTCTTCTTCTTCTTCTTCTTCATCTTCCTCTTCCTCTTCCTCTTCCTCTTCGGCTTCCTCCTCCTCCTCCTCTTCATCCTCCTCTACTACATCCTCCTCTACTACATTCTACTACTCCTCCCTCCTAGCTCTGATGAGGTTCCCTAGTTGGGTCATGAAACGTCTACAAGGAAACAGCCCAACTCAGAGAGCACCAAGGACCCCACAGTCCTTCCTTCCTTCCTTCCTTCCTTCCTTCCTTCCTTCCTTCCTTCCTTCCTTCCTTTCTTCTCCTCCTCCTCCTCCCTTCTAGCCCTGATGAGGTTCCCTAGTTGGGTCATGAAACGTCTGCAAGCAAACAGCCAAGCTCAGAGAACACCAAGGACCCCTCCTCCTACTCCTTCTACTCCTCCTCTATGCAAACCCCTCTCCTTTCTGATACATGCTGACTGAGGAATTCTGGGAGTTGAAGTCCACAAGTCATCAAAGGGCCAAGTGTGAAGACCCCTGGCCTCAGCTGTCTGACAGACTTCAACTCCCAGCATTCCCCAGCCAGCACGGCTGGCCTTTTGCTAAGAATTCTCTAGCCTGCCCACTAGGATTTGAGGTCCACGGATCTTGAAAGTTACCGAGGTGGGAAAACCAACTTAAAAGCTGGAATGGGCTCCTGATGTTGCTGGAAAAAAAACAACAGCAGCAAAGAAGTATCAAGAGTTTTTTTTATCATTTTATTGTTTTTTTAATTTTTATACTTTTAGAATTGTAAACCTCCCAGAGTTACTTGGTTAAAGTGGGCAGCTATAGAAATAATAAAAGGAAAATTAAAAAAAAGAAAAGAAAAGAAATTCTCTACTCTGGATGTTCCCCTCTAGAGCTGGTAGATAGATTGATAACTTCTGGGTTGTTGTTTTTTTCCTGAATTGTTGTATTATGACCTGTTTGTACATTGTTGTTTATCAGCTGCTTAGAGTCAAATAACTAGAGTAGAAAAAAAAACACCGCCTAATCAATAAATAGTAAATAAATCTCCAAGGTGCTTTTTACCTTGGGGACAGAGACACACCTGGCCAGGAACAACTCTTGTGAGCTGCTCTGCCTGTTGGTCCATATCAAAATAGATTTGTTTTGCAATATACATTTTGAATGATTCATCGTCTCGTGCCCAGACTTTTATGACCAGAGTTGTATATAAATCCAGTAAACAAAGGAGATTGTGACCTAGAACTTAGGAGAAACTTCCTGACAGTCAGAACAATTAACCAGTGGAACAACCTGCCTCCAGAAGCGGTGAATGCTCCAACACTGGACGTTTTTAAGAAGAGACTGGACGGCCACTTGTCCGAAACGGTCATGGGTTTTCCTGCCTGAGCAGGGGGTTGGACTAGATGACCTCCAAGGTCCCTTCCAACCCTATTATTATTATTAATGATCATTGCAGTCAGCCAGATATTCAGACTGGATTTGGGACCTGGGATAGGCAGATGTGGATGTTTGATGGTATTACAGATATCGTCGCAGGATGGAAGCAGTTCCTAGTAAGGCCGCCTTTTGCAATTGACTTATTATTATTATTATCATTACTATCATTTATTATTATTATTATTATTATTATTAATCTTGATCATCGCAGTCAGCCAGATGTTCACACTAGATTTGGCATTTATGTCTGAAATGGTGTAGGGTTTCCTGCCTGAGCAGGGGGTTGGACTAGATGACCTCCAAGGTCCCTTCCAACTTATTATTATTATTATTATTATTATTATTATTATTATTATTATTATTATTATTAAGATCAGTGCAGTAGGGAAAGCTGGGTCTTAAACCAGCATTCCTGGCCTGAGCCGTTTGCGACCTTCCCAGCTAGCTTCCAAGGGGGAAAGCTGGGTTTGCTTAAGAACCCCCGTGATTCACGTAACAACCCTGCCAGAAAAAGGTCACAAAATCTGGCGCATAACATAAGGTAACAACTGCCTTGCTTATCAGTGGGAATTTTAGTCCCGCTTGTGGTTGTGAAGAGGAGGGCTGCCTGTATTTTGTCGTGTTTAAGGGAGCCTTCCTCCTCTGAACGTCTGCCGGTCTTGCCTCCTGAACAGGTAAAACCGAGCTGGCCAAGCAAACAGCCAAGTACCTGCACAAAGACGTCAAAAAGGTAAGAGCTCCAGCTGGGGATTCTGTGCAGGCCGAGAACAGCTGTAGAATCAAGAGTCCCTCAGCCTGGGCCGCTAAGACTTGTGGACTTCAACTCCCAGAATTCCATGCTGGCTGAGGAAACTGGCCTAAAGTCACCCAGCCAGCTTTCATGGCTAAGGCAGGACTAGAGGACTAGGACTCCCAGTCTCCTGGTGATTGGCCCAAAGTCACCCAGCTGTCTTTCATGCCTAAGGCGGTACTAGAACTCCCAGTCTCCTGGTGATTGGTCCAAAGTCACCCAGTCGTCTTTNGCCTAAGGCGGGACTAGAACTCCCAGTCTCCTGGTGATTGGCCCAAAGTCACCCAGTCGTCTTTTGTGCCTAAGGCGGGACTAGAACTCCCCGTCTCCTGGTGATTGGCCCAAAGTCACTCAGTCTTTTGTGCCTAAGGCGGGACTAGAATTCCCAGTCTCCTGGTGATTGGCCCAAAGTCACCCAGCCGTCTTTTGTGCCTAAGGCGGGACTGGAATTCCCACTCTCCTGGTGATTGGCCTAGAGTCACCAGTCGTCTTTCGTACCTAAGATGGGACTAGAACTCCCAGTCTCCTGGTGATTGGCCCAAAGTCACCCAGCCGTCTTTCGTGCCTAAGGCGGGACTGGAACTCACCGCCTCCTGTTTCTAGCCTAGTGCCTTAACCACCAGACCAATCTGGCAATAATTCTGGGACCTGCTGACTTGCTACTGCTGCCCTCAGGTGCCAGTGGCCTTGGGTGGCCTGACGGGCAGCATATAATTTAAACTGATAAGCGAAAAGATAAAATAGAGAAAAGATGAGTCCCTCGACCGTCTTAAAAAGTCAGAATCCGCCCTCCTGGCTCTATATATCTGTTACTTAGGCGGCTGCACCAGGCGCCCCCCTGCTTGGCCAGGGAGAGCCTGGCAGTGGGGACGTTTGCTCGGCTAACCTTCGACTTGGGTGAATGCAACCTATTAGATCAGAGGCTGTCCTTGAAGGATTGTCGCGTACACCCACGGCAGTCGTTAAATTATTAACCCGGTTAAGTGAATCTGGCTTCCCCATTGACTTGGCTTGTCAGCAGGTTGCAGAAGGGGATCACGTGACCTCAGGACGCTGCGACCGTCGTAAATAGGAGCCAGTTGCCAAGCGTCTGAATTTTGATCCTGGGGATGCTGCAAAGGCCGTCACTGTGAAAAATAGTCATTTAATGTCATAGTTTTCAATGCCGTCGCAACTTTGAACAGCCACCCAATGAATTGTTGCAAGTTGAGGACTACAGGAATGCGAAAGACGAGAGTTTTATCGCTGGAAATGGAAATTTAGTCGCCTTTCTCGGGAAACCCTGTCAGGAGTTGTCATTAAGGCCCCTTTCTTCCTTTCGTTAGGGTGATTAGAAAATATAGGAAATCTGAAACTTAATTTGTCAAACAGGACAGCCGAGTATTAAAACTATTTGAGTGTTTGCAAACATACCAAGAAATATATCGGGTCCCTCCACAAGCGAAGAATTTAAATTATGAGCAGAATAAAACACAAGCCAACAAAATGCTAAATTAAAGCCCCCGCCGTCTGTCGAAGTGAAATAATGCTTCCGTGGGATGCGTAGGTTATTACTCGTGAGGAAAAACGCCAGTTTGCTTGGCAAGAAGAGGTTTTTCCACTGGGATGGAAAGCAAAGCTCATTTTTCCCCTCTAAGAATGCCTGGATTTTCAGTCTGGCAACAGGTAGAAACACCTGATTCTCAAGATACCATCAATAATGATGATGATGATGATGATGATGATGATGTTGGAAGGGACCTTGGAGGTCATCTAGTCCAACCCCCTGCTTAGGCAGGAAACCCTACACCATTTCAGACAAATGGCTGTCCAGTCTCTTCTTAAAAACCTCCAGTGTTGGAGCATTCACCGCTTCTGGAGGCAGGTGGTTCCACTGGTTAATTGTTCTCAATGTCAGGAAGTTTCTCCTTAGTTCCAGGTTGCTTCTCTCCTTGATTGGTTTCCATCCGTTGCTTCTTGTCCTGCCTTCAGGCGCTTTGGAGAATAGCTTGACTGCCTCTTCTTTGTGGCAGCCCCTAAGATACTGGAAGACTGCTATCATGTCTCCCCTCGTCCTTCTCTTCATTAAACTAGACATACCCAATTCCAGCAACCGTTCCTTATGTGTTTTAGCCTCCAGTCCCCTGATCATCTTTGTTGCTCTTCTCTGCACTCTTTCTAGAACAGTGGTTCTCAACCTGTGGGTCGGGACCCCATTTGGGGTCAATCGACCATTTCATGGGGGTCGCCAAGCAAGGCTGTCCGCCATTTTTTTTTGTCTGTCATATTTTTTGTCCGCCATTTTTTCCCCCTTTTCCGGCGGGTGCCTTACCTCCCTTGGGCTGGGCCAGCTGGTGGTCGGCCTGCTCCGTCTCTGCCGCTTGCCAGCTACGCCTCGGCCGGCGCAGGGGGCGGAACCATGCATGCGCGGCGCTCCCGGGCAGGGAAAGTCCTCGACTTATGACTGGTTGGGTAGTCCTCGACTTACGACTGGTTTAGTCCTCGACTTACGACCGGTTGGGGTCGTGGCATTAAAAAGGTTGAGAACCACTGTTCTAGAGTCTCAACCTCTTTTTTACACCGTGGTGACCAAAACTGGATATAATATTCCAAGTGTGGCCTTACCAAGGCCTTGTAAAGTGGTATTAACACTTCACGTGATCTTGAGTCTCTCCCTCTGTTAATGCAGCCTAGCACTGTCAAGGTTCAGGTCCTCCAAGAGATAAGGGGGCCACCCACCTTTTCCTATCAGCAGGATCCGGACCGATGTGACACCTGAAACCCTGGTGGGGCATCTCAGTCAGAGGCACCCACCTAGGTTTCAGGAGTATAGGTAGTTCATTTAGTGACCGACCGAAGTTACAACAGCACTGAAAAAAGCGACACATACGGCTGTTGCCCCATGGGTCACGAGACTCAAATTCCAATGCTTGGCAACTGACTCGTATTTATAACGGTCGCAGTGTCCTGGGGTCTCCTTTTGCGACTTTCTGACAAGCCAGATGGATGGATGGTAACTGTGTTTATTATCTTCAACTTTCCTTCGCCTTGCAGGCCTGCAAAGGTCATCAATGCAAGGATGAGTTGCTGGATTACTTTCCCGTCACCATCGTAGCTGCCACTAAATGAGACAGACACTCAGCGAAGCCTGTGATCAGAGACAGCCTGGTTCTAGGATAGGATAGGACAGTTTTGATCCCTGAGCCAGCTCAGCTTCCTTCTTATTTCAGCGCACCTGGCCTAGGAGCACTTCAGGGAACTGATGTGTAAATGGAGACTCAATCATCCAGGCCAAAGATATCCAAAAAAGGTGGAAATCGTGGCAACTGGGCCCAAGTTTATTAAAACTGAGATGTTTCGTTAACTCATCCGAGTAACTTCTTCGGTCAAAATGGCAATTTTGGGTGGACGGAGAGTCAGAGAGTCGTCGGAATGGACTAACCCAGTGGTGGCGAACCTATGGCACGGGTGCCAGAGGCGGCACTCAGAGCCCTCTCTGTGGGCACGCTTGCCGTCGCCCCAGTCCTGGGCCTTCAGCTGGGTTTTATAAAACCTTTTCACTTTAGGCCTCCGCCGCCATGTGCAAAAAAAAAAAAAGGTTCAATCAATCAGTCAATTTGGGGAAAAAAAGTTCTTGCAAAGTTGGAATTGATTGAACTTTTTTTTTTAATTGAAAAGTTTTATAAAAGTTACAATATAAACCCCAAAACCAACCCACCCTAAACCCCCCCCTCTCTCTCCCCCACTTCCCAGAGCTGAATACAGGGTTACAAATATAATAATCATAATCTAACTAACATTAACCAACTACATAAATAACCAAGTCCATAATGCGCTTTAACTCCCCTTTAACATAAATATAATAATAATAATTAAAACATAAACAAATTAGTATCCTAATTATTAAACAATAGAATATTGTTAAACAATACTAATACTAAAAATAATAATAATATCATATAATTAAAACTAATAAAAATTTCACTATAATAAGCTATTAATACTAATAATACTCTAAAATTATTGATTGAACTTTTTAGTCCCACCCAGTCTGCCGTTACCACCGCAGCCACGCCCACCCAATGGGCCACACCCACCCAATGGGCCACGCCCACCCGGCACCCGACAATGCATAAGTGGGCTTTGGGTTGCAGTTTGGGCACTCGGTCTCTAAAAGGTTCGCCATCACTCGACTAACTCTTGCCATACCGACTGGGGGGGGGGGTTTCTCCCCCAAATGAAAAGCAGTGAGAATTCTCACGATTGTGAGTCTCTGCCTGCCCAGAGCTTTCAGTTTGACTGAAGACGTTACCTGGGCGGGTCAATGAAACATCTCAATTTTGACAAACTTGGGCCCCGTTGCCATAATAGCCTTTGACTTTTTTTAAATATTCGGGGAAGTGAGTTTTGAACAGCCATCCTTAAGGCCACGGTGCCTATTTGGTGTAGGACAGTGGTTCTCAACCTGTGGGTCGGGACCCCATTTGGGGTCGATCGACCATTTCACGGGGGTCGCCAAGCAAGGCTGTCCGCCATTTTTTTTGTCCGCCATTTTTTCCCCTTTTCCGGCGGGTGCCTTACCTCCCTTGGGCTGGGCCAGCTGGTGGTCGGCCTGCTCCGTCTCTGCCACTTGCCAGCTATGCCTCGACCGGCGCAGGGGGCGGAACCACGCATGCACGGCACTCCCGGGCAGGGAAAGTCCTCGACTTACGACCGGTTGGGTAGTCCTCGACTTACGACTGGTTTAGTCCTCGATTTACGACCGGTTTAGTCCTCGACTTACGACCGGTTTGGGTCGCGGCATTAAAAAGGTTGAGAACCACTGGTGTAGGAGGACGTGAGTTGTGGATCCCTTGACCAGCCTCCTTGTGGACAGGCACCTTTCATCTTCAGAAAGGGCAAAATGTCACACACACACACCCAAACTGTGTAGAGAGTGCTCCCCCCTTTAACAAGTGTCTTGAGCAGTTCTGACAACTCTCCTTTCCTTCTTTCCTCAACAGGGGTTCATTCGCATGGACATGTCGGAGTTTCAAGAGAGACACGAGGTGAGGAAGAGTGGGGGGCTGTTTCTGCCCCCCTCAATCAGCTGCCATCCTTTGCAGACCCCAAAGACCACCCTCACTTTCACCATCCCAGAAGCGAACTCTTCCTCCAAAGGAGTTGGCTTCGTTCCTCTAGGTCTGTGTTGCTCAAATTTCCTGCTATCGGCCAGTCTCAGTAGGACATTGGTAGCCTAGGGTTCAACCGTAGTGTCCTTGTTGCTCTCTGAGCTTGAAGACATTTCTTGACCCGACTAGGGAACGTCATCAAAGGGGAGGTGGAAGGAGAGGAGGAGGAGGAGGTTTCTCGCAGACGTTTCAGGACCCAACTAGGGAATATCATCCCTGCTAGAAGGGAGTGGATAGGAAGCTGTAGGTCAGGAGTGTGAAACCTAATTTCCTTGAGGGCCGCATCAGCATTGCGGTTGCCCTTGGGGGTCCAGGTGAGTTTGGCCAGAGTGGGTGTGGCCTACTGGGTGTGTGTGGAGGAGTGGGTGTGGCCTACTGGGTGGGCGCGGCCAGCTCTACATCGTTTGCATCAAGGGTGCCTGTGGGGGCCTGGGCAGGAGTGGGACAGATCTGAGGGTCTCTGGCAGAAGGGGGTGGGACCGGGGCAAGCACCAAGGCATGGTCCATTTCTTCATTCCTCACAAAGGGTGACCCCTCCCCAGCATGCACCCAGGGGGCGGGAGCGACACAGCAGGGGCTGGTTCCTCACTGTTCCCAGATGGCCTTGTGGAGCTAAGACTGAATGCATTTCAGCATAGATGGCCACCACAAAATTGTACATTGGCTCCCGGCCGGCCAGGGCCAAGGCAGTGGGGGCCGTTCCCTCACAGTTTCCAGGATGGCTTCGCGGGCCACATGACACCACTTCGCGGGCTGCGTCTGGCCCCTGGGCCTTGTGTTTGACATGTCTGCAGTAGGACATTTGTAGCCCAGGGTTCAACCGTAGTGTCCTTGGTGCTCTCTGAGCTTGGTCGCTTGCTTGAAGACATTTCGTGACCCGACTAGGGAACGTCATCAAAGGGGAGGTGGAAGGATAGGAGGAGGAGGAAGAGGTTCCTCGCAGATGTTTCAGGACCCAACTAGGGAGCATCATCCGTGCTAGAAGGGAGTGGATAGGAAGCTGTAGGTGAAGGAGCTCTTCCCACCTTCTAGGTAGGTCCCTCTCCAACCCTATCCAGATATCAAAAACCTTGTCTGTAGGTTGAGCCTCAGAGACAGGGCTTCTCAACATAACTTCCCAAGAACAAATATGTGTAATTGGGACTGTGTATAATTCAGCCGTGGTGGCGCAGTGGTTAGAATGCGGAACTGCAGGCTATTTCTGCTGACTGCCGGCTGCCAGGAATTCGGCAGTTCGATCCCGACGAACTTCAAGCTTGACTCGGCCTTCCATCCTTCCGAAGCGGGTAAAATGAGGATCCAGATTGTTGGGGGGGGCAACCGGCTGACTCTGTAAACGGCTTAGAGAGGGCTGTAAGCGAACTGAGAAGCGGTCTATAAGTCTAAGAGCTGTTGCTATCGCGATCAGGGCTGGTCTGGTTCTGTTCCAAATACGGCCAGCCTCTCTTCAGCTTGTGCCTCGGGAGCAGCGTCCTTACTCCGAAGCCCAGAAGGCTGGGTGATGTAACTCTGGGGGTCTCTTGCAGGTGGCCAAGTTCATTGGTTCTCCCCCAGGCTACATTGGTCATGACGATGGGGGGCAGCTCACAAAGAAGCTGAAGCAGTGCCCCAACGCCGTGGTCCTCTTTGATGAGGTGGACAAGGCCCACCCAGATGTCCTAACCATCATGCTGCAGCTCTTCGATGAAGTAAGATCCGTCTCCTTGGGATTGTTCTGGGTTCCAGGTCACTCATTTGTTCAAGCTCCAAGGTCGTTCATAGATTCATTCATTTGTTCTGGGTTCCAGGTCCATCCATCCATCCATTCACTCACTCCTTCATTCTGGGTTCTAGTTCATTCATTCATTTGTTCTGGATTCCAGGTCCATCCATCCATTCATTCATTCACTCACTCACTCCTTCATTCTGGGTACCAATTCATTCATTCATTCATTCACTCCTTCATTCTGGGTTCCAATTCATTCATTCGTTTGTTCTGGATTCCAGGTCCATCCATCCATGCATTCATTCATTCATTCATTCATTCACTCACTCACTCACTCCTTCATTCTGGGTTCCAATTCATTCATTCATTCACTCCTTCATTCTGGGTTCCAATTCATTCATTCGTTTGTTCTGGATTCCAGGTCCATCCATCCATTCATTCATTCATTCATTCACTCACTCACTCACTCCTTCATTCTGGGTTCCAATTCATTCATTCATTCATTCACTCCTTCATTCTGGGTTCCAATTCATTCATTCGTTTGTTCTGGATTCCAGGTCCATCCATCCATGCATGCATTCATTCATTCATTCATTCATTCATTCATTCACTCACTCACTCCTTCATTCTGGGTTCCAATTCATTCATTCATTCACTCCTTCATTCTGGGTTCCAATTCATTCATTCGTTTGTTCTGGATTCCAGGTCCATCCATCCATTCATTCATTCACTCACTCACTCACTCCTTCATTCTGGGTTCCAATTCATTCATTCACTCACTCCTTCATTCTGGGTTCCAATTCATTCATTCATTCACTCCTTCATTCTGGGTTCCAATTCATTCATTCGTTTGTTCTGGATTCCAGGTCCATCCATCCATCCATCCATTCATTCATTCACTCACTCACTCACTCACTCACTCACTCACTCCTTCATTCTGGGTTCCAATTCATTCATTCACTCACTCCTTCATTCTGGGTTCCAATTCATTCATTCATTCACTCCTTCATTCTGGGTTCCAATTCATTCATTCGTTTGTTCTGGATTCCAGGTCCATCCATTCATTCATTCATTCATTCTGGGTTCCAATTCATTCATTCATTCACTCACTCCTTCATTCTGGGTTCCAGTTCATTCATTTGTTCTGGATTCCAGGTCCATCCATTCATCCATCCATTCATTCATTCACTCACTTTCATTCTGGGTTCCAGGTCATTTATTCATTCATTTCTTCTGGGTTCCAGCTTATTCACTCCTTCATTCATTCTGGACTCTCCAACTTTGGCAATTTTAAGACTTGTGGACTTCAGCTCCCAGAATTCCTCAAGCCAGCATGTCTGGCTGAGAAATTCTGGGAGTTGAAGCTACCACAAATCTTAAAGTTGTCAAGGTTGGACACCTCTTCTCCAAAGCGCCTGAGGGCAGGACAAGAAACAACGGATAGAAACTAATCAAGGAGAGAAGCAGTCTGGAATTGAGGAGGAATTTCCTGAAAGCGAAAACAATGAATCAGTGGAACAGCTTGCCACCAGAAGTTGTGGGTGCTCCATCGCTGGAGGTCCTCAAGAAGACACTGGACAATCATTCGTTGGAGGGGTTGGACTAGAAGACCTCCAAGGTCCCTTCCAACTCTGATTTTCTGTTGTTCTGTTAAGCTGAACCCATAGACCAGGGGTGGGCAACCTGGGCTCTTTTATGACTCGTGGACTTCAACTCCCAGAATTCCTGAGCCAGCCATGCTGAGGGGAAGGGACAGATTTCCAAGCTGAGCCATGCTGGCTCAGGAATTCTGGAAGTTGAAGTCCAGGAGTCATGAAGGGGCCATAGTTCCCCCATGCTGGCTCAGGAATTCTGGGAGTTGAAATCCCCGAGTCATGAAGGGGCCATATTTCCCTCATGCTGGGTCCGGAATTCTGGGAGTTGAAGTCCACGAGTCATAAAAGAGCCCAGGTGGCCTATCCCTGCCATAGAAGCTTCCCGTAGACCGTCAGGAACCAGGAGGGTAGATCCCCTCTCCACACCCTAACACCCCCCCTCTCCAAAAAGGCTCATAAAATCGGGTCGGCCATGTGGACGACCCACTTTACGACCGTCATGACTTACATCTCTAACGAGGCCGGCATGCCCAGCTGTGTCACTTGAGTGCCAGGGGGCTTTCTGCACCCGGCTGGGCCAGGGGAGTCATCCCCCACCCCACCCCCTGAACCCACCAGCCTCCACGGGGTGTCTCCCAACCCTCGGCCTCCTGGAAAAATGGCCGCGTCCTCGGCGGTGCCTTTTCAGAGTTCTGTTTGTTTGGGGTGGGTTTTGTTTTGTGTTTTGTTGGTTTTTTTCTCCCCCTTTTCAACCCAGGATTAATAACCGTGGTATTTTTCTTGCATAGATCACGGTGGCAGCCGCTAAATGCGAAATCAATTCCTGAACTGCCGGCCTGACAGAGCAATAACCGAAATGTTAATCCCCGGCTCTGACACAAATGTGTGTCGTTCGTTCGGCTGGACAGGAGCGCTCCTGGCGACACTTAGAAAGGGGAGGGGGGAGCAGGCCTCCCTCCTCCCCCCCCCCATTCTGTGTCCTCCTTGCTCCTCTTCGCCCTTCTCCTCCTCCTCCTCCTCCTCCTCCCCCCCCCCTTACAAACCATCCGTATTTTTAAAAGGCCCTTAAATTTAGCATTCTCGGACGGGAGAACCGGGGATCCCTGCAGGGGCCAGCCTCGCACCCCTGCCTTGCCCCAAAGTCCAGGGTCCGTCTCCCTTCTGGGTGGGGATCCTTCGGGTCCCGGGTCGGACCCCGAAGCCCAGGCGGTTCCTGGGGGGGCCTTTCGTTCGCCCGGAGCAAAAAAATCAGGTCGGCCTTGAGACTCAACGACCACAGCTCAGCCCCCAATTCCTGTCCCAAAGTGAGTTTTTGCCCCATTTTGCGACCTCTCTTGCCCCAGTCGTTAAGCCGATCGCTGCAGTTCTTAAGTGAGCCGTACCGTCGTTAAGCGAATCCAGCTTCCCCCGTCAGAAAGTCGCAAAAGCGGATGACGTGCCCCCCCCCGGGAACACTGCGACCCATCGTAAATACGAGACAGTTGCCAAGCGTCTGGATTTTGATCGCGTGACGCTGGGGGGCGCTGGAACGGTCATAAGTGTGAAAAACGGTGCTAAGTCCCTTTTTCCAGTGCCGTTGTACCTGAACGGTCACTAAACGAACGGTGACCCTATCCTCAGTGAAGCTGGGCCCACCGAAGAGCCGTCCTCCGAGGAACGACGTTGGGGCAACTCACCGTAGTTTGTTTAGTGACTGTCCGAAGTTACCACTTTACTGAAAAAAGGGACTTCACGACCGTTTTTCCTACAACCGTTGCAGCCTCCCCAGGGGTCACGTGATCAATATTCGGCCGCTTGGCAACTGACTCACGTTTATGACGGACGCAGTGTCCCGGGGGGGAGGTGTCACGTGATCCCTTTTCGCAATCATCTGATAAGCAAAGTCAGTGGGGAAGCCGGAAGTGGGTTACTGATTCAATGGTGGTCATAAGTGGAGGACTACCTGTGCCACAAGCTCTGGGGCAGGGGTAGGCAACCTTGGCTCTTTTATGACTCGTGGACTTCAACTCCCAGAATTCCTGAGCCAGCCACGCTGAGAGGAAAGGGAGATGTTCCCAAGCTGAGCCATGCTGGCTCAGGAATTCTGGGAGTTGTAGTCCACGAGTCATAAAAGAGCCAAGGTTGCCTACCCCTGCTCTGGGGTAATGAGTGAACTTTCTCCTTGCAGGCGTCTCATGACGCAACTAGGCAACCTCATCAGTGCTACAAGGAGGTGGGGGGAGACCGGGCGCTCCTTGATGCTCTCTTAAGTTTGGCTGGCTTTTTTGCAGAGGTTTAGAGTGGGAAGGGGCCGTGGAGATCTTCTAGTCCAGGGGTCGGCAACCTTGGCCCCTTCATGACTCGTGGACTTCGACTCCCAGAATTCCTGAGCCAGCATGGCTCAGCTTGGAAACCTCTCCCTTTCCCCTCAGCGTGGCTGGCTCAGGAATTCTGGGAGTTGAAGTCCACGAGTCATAAAAGAGCCAAGGTTGCCTACCCCTGGACTAGTCCATTTCAGACAAATAGTTGTCTAGTCTCTTCTTGAAAGCCTCCTGCAACTTCTAGAGGCAGGTGGTTCAACTGATTAACTGTTCTAACTTGTCAGGAAGTTTCTCCTTAATTCCAGGTTGCTTCTCTCCTTGATGAGTTTCCATCAGTTGCTCCTTGTGCCGCCTTCTTCGGGGGCTTTGGGGAATAGCTTCATCAATGCTGGAAGGGAGGGAGGGAGGGAGGGGGGGTTGCTGTCTGCTGACATCCAAGGGCCTGGGGGCTTCTCTTCGGCCTGACGAGGCTTATGTCCGTTTCCCGTGTCTCGGGAAGGGCCGGCTGACCGACGGGAAGGGGAAGACCATTGACTGCAAGGACGCCATCTTCATCATGACCTCCAACGTGGCCAGCGACGAGATCGCCCAGCATGCTTTGGAACTGAGGGAGGACGCCGCGGAGCTGAGCCGGAAGAGAATCGCCGAAAAGCTGGGTGGGTACCTCCTCCTTCTTTCCTTCTTTCCTTCCTTCCTTCCTTCCTTCCTTCCTTCCTTCCTTCCTCCCCAGCAGCCTCCTTACTCTGAGTAGACCCCGGAACCCCTGGAGACCGCGCAGGGCAATCCTGTGCGGTCCACCATCTTCCTTCCTGGCCTTATGACCACAGTGGAGCCCAACATTTCGGTTGCTAAGCGAGACGTTTGTTAAGTGAATTTTGCCCTCTTTTACGACCTTCCTTGCCACAGTTGTTAAACGAATCACTGCAGTTGTTAAGTTGGCGACAGGGTTGTTCAATGAATCTGGCCTCCCCCATGGACTTGGCTTGTCAGAAGGTCACAAAGGGGATCACGTGACCCCCACGGGACGCTGTCGTAAATACGAGTCCGTTGCCAAGCATCTGAATTTTGATCATGTGACTCAGGGAGATGCTGCCACGGTCGTGTGAAAAACGGTCATAAGTCTCCTTTTTCAGGGCCGTTGTAACTTTGAACGGTCAGTAAGCGAACTGTTGTAAGTGGAGGACTAATTGTAGTGCAGGTCTGTCATCCTTACCCTGGCCACAGGATTGCCCAGTCAGCCTTGGCTACTGTTTTCAAGCAATGGGGGGGGGGGTCTCGCAGCCCCCTTGGGAGAGCTGGCATGGATGGATGGGTGGATGGACGGAATGGAACAGACTAGACTAGGACTAGACGAATAGAATAGAATAGAATAGAATAGAATAGAAAATAGAATAGAATAGAATAGAATAGAATAGAATAGAATAGAATAGAAATACAGAATAAAATAGAATAGAATTACAAATCGAAATACAGAATAGAACAGAATTACAGAATAGAATAGAATAGAAATAAGAATTAGAATAGAACAGAACAGAACAGAACAACAGAATAGAATAGAATAAAGAATTAGAATTAGAATTTAGAATAGAATAGAATAGAATAGAATAGAATAGAATAGAATAGAATAGAATAGAAATACAGAACAGAATAGAATAGAATAAAGCTGGAAGGGACCTTGGAGGTCTTCTAGTCCAGCCCCCTGCTCAAGCAGGAGAACCTAAACTATCTCAGACAAGGGACTGTCCAGTCTGCTCTTAAAATCTCCAGTGATGGAGCACCCATGATTTCTGGTGGCAAGCTGTTCCACTGGTTAATTGTCCTCACTGTTTGAAAGTTTCTCCTTAATTCCAGGTTGCTTCTCTCTTTGATCAGTTTCCAACCATTGTTTCTTGTCCTTCCCTCTGGTGCCTTGGAGAATAACGTGACCCCCCTCTTCTTTGTGACAGCCCTTCAAATGTTGGAATACTGCTATCATGTCTCCCCTATTTCTTCTTTTCTCCAGACTAGCCAGACCCAAGTCCTGCAGCCGTTCTTCCTATGTTTTAGTCTCCAGGTCTTTGATCATCTTAGTTGCTCTTCTCTGAACTTTTTCCCAGGTCTCTCAACATCTTTTTTGCAGTATGGTGACCAAAACTGGTTGCAGTACTCCAGGTCTGGCCTTACTAAGGCTTTATAAATTGGTAGTAATACTTCGCGTGATCTTGATTCTATGCCTCTGTTTACACAACCCAGGATTGCGTTAGCTTTTTTGATAGATGCATGGATAGATGGAGGGGTGGATGGACGGATGAATGGATGGATGAATGAACAGATGGATGGACTGGTGGCTGGATGGACGGACAGATGCCAGCCAGCCCTTTCCCCACCCCCAGGAAGGCCCCCCCTCCCCACCTCTTAAGTGCTGTGTTTTGGGTACCCATCAGCTCTGCTTTTGTCTTCCAGATGACGTCCAGGTGACGGACAAGATAACCATCTCCAAGCAGTTCAAGGAGAACGTGATCCGCCCCATCCTCAAGGTACAGATGGTGCTGTTTACAGCCCTGGGCCCGAGTTCCAGAAATGGGAGCCCGGGGGGGGTGTTTTCTTTCTCCCCCCTGCTTCAGCCACCAGCTGGATCCAGAGGTCTCGGCTAAGTGGCCCCACAGGTTGGCCGTTTTCTAGCTAACCCCGAATCCCAGGCTGGTATCTTCGCCTTAGGATGGTTGGATTTATGCCAGGAAACCTTCTCCCCACCCCTCCTGGGGGGAAATGCAGGACTTAGCAGAATAACAAGTTGGAAGGGATCTTAGAGGTCATCTAGTCCAACCCCCTGCTCAAGCAGGAGACTTGGTAGCAGGGCTGAGCATTGATGACCCGTGGGCTTCAATTCCTGGCCGGCTGAGGAATTCTGGGAGTTGAAGTCCACAGGTCGTAAAAGGGGCCCCGGAGGCCCAGCCTTGCCTCTCTGCAGGTGGTAGTCCTCGACTTAACGACCCAGCATTTCGGTTGCTAAGCAAAACGTTTCTGAAGCGAGTTTGCTCCATTTTACGACTTTTCTCGCCCCAGTTACTAAGCGAATCACTGCAGTTGTTAAGTTAGTAACACCGTTGTTAAGCGAATCTGGCGTCCGCATCGGCTTTGCTTATCAGAAGGTCGCAAAAGGGGATCGCGTGACTCCCGGGACACAGCGACCGTCGTAAATACGAGCCAGTCGCCAGGCGGCTGGATTTTGATCACGTGACCCTGGGGACGCTGCGACGGTCGTAAGTACGGTCCTGTCACTTTTTTTCAGTGCCGTAACTTCAAATGGTCGCTAAGTCGAGGACCACCTGTACGATTCTGGAGAAATGGCTGTCCGATCTCTTCTTAGAACCCCCCCCCCACCCATAACTTCACAAGGGGCCCTGGTCTGTTTCACCCAGAGCAAGGCAGTAACTGGGGGGGGGGCGTCTTGATAGAGCCATTAACCCGTGGAACTCCTTACCTCCAGAAGTTGTGAGTGCTCCGACACTGGGGACTTTTTAAGAAGAGACTGGACAGCCATTTGTCTGAAACGGTATGGGGGGTTCCTACCTGAGTAGTGGGTTGGACTAGATGACCTCCAGGGTCCCTTCCGACTCTGTGATTCTGTCATTTTGTAAGGGGGTTTGGATTAGAAACGAAGCCCCCAACCTTTTGGGCACCAGGGACCGGTTCCGCGGAGAGAGGTTTTTCCGCAGACCGGAGGGTGCGTGGTTTTGTGTGCTGTCTGCATCTTGCAATGGGGCTTTGCTTGTTTGTGCGGACCGGTTGCTGGCATGCTGCGGCCCGATATGGGTCTACGGACTGGGGGTTTGATTATAGTTTGATTATAGTAGTAAAGTTGGAAGGGACCTTGGAGGTCTTCTAGTCCAGCCCCTGCTCAGGCAGGAAGCCCTATTCCATTCCAGACAAACGGCTGTCCAGTCCCTTCTTAAAACCTTCCAGTGTTGGAGCATTCACTGCTTCTGGAGGCAGGTTGTTCCACTGGTTAATTGTCCTCACTGTCAGGAAGTTTCTCCTTAGTTCTAGGTTGCTTCTCTCCTTGACTAGTTTCCATCCGTTGCTTCTTGTCCTGGACTAAAAGGCCTCTAAGGTCCCTTCCAACTCAATTATTCCGCTATCTACTATTTATTTAATTTGTGCGCCACCTATCCCACTCCCCAGAGCCATTTTATCCCCCCCCCGCAGTGATTTCCAAAGATGCCCCCTTGGAGAGGGTGCAACAGAGGGGTCTATGCCATCCCACCCACCCACCCATTTTCAGCCCTTCTCCCTTCTCCTCCCTCCCACCCCAGGCTCACTTTCGGCGGGACGAGTTCCTGGGCCGGATCAACGAGATCGTCTACTTCCTCCCCTTTTGCCAATCGGAGCTGATCCAGCTGGTCAACAAGGAGCTGAGTTTCTGGGCCAAGCGGGTGAGCCCTGCCAGCCTCGCCCTGGCTTCACTCCCCTCCCCTCCCTCTTCCCTGCACGGAGTCCTTGACTTACGACCGGTCGTTTAGCGACCGGTCGAAGCCACAACGGCACCGAAAAAAAGGGATTTATCTTTTTCACACACTTAACAACCGTTGCCGCTTCCCCGTGGCCACAGGATTGGCCACTGACTCATATTCATGACGGTGGCGGGGTCACCTCGCCACCCTTGGCGACCTTCCCGGCCGGCTTCCAAAAGCAAAAACAATGGGGGGGGGAGAGATGGATTCGTTTAACAGCCACACAATTTGCTCCACAACTGCCGCGATCCGTGGCAGAAAGTCTCGTGAAATCGGACGTGGCTCACTTAACAACTTGCTTAGCCACAGAAATGGTTGCAGTCGTAGGTCAAGGACCCCCCCTTGTGCTCTTCCTAAGCATCTTCGTGCCGTCACGTCAGCCCGCCCCACCCTCTCCGACAGGGAAGGCAGGTTGCACACCTCATAAGTTAGGGAACTCCAACTGGGTGGGGGGGATTTCCAGGAAGAGGGTCTTCTCTGCCATTGCACCCACTTTGTGCAACACTGTGCCCTCCCACCCCTTGAGATGAGGGGGGGACATTTCTCTTGGCCTTCCCAAAAGGAATTAAAACAGATATCTCTGGAGACTCTCCGTCATCCCAAAGATGCTTTTTCAGGAGGCAATTGGACTTTCTTGTTTTTCCTTGAAGACGTTTCGCTTCTCATCCAAGAAGCTTCTTCAGCTCTGACTGGATGGTGGGGAAGGGAAGGATTTATACTCCTTGCAGACAGCTGGTCGTTTGCAATCTTTCAGAGGGTTGTTGAGCCCACCTGAGGACACAGATAAACCTCCAGGTGGCCTCAACGACCCTCTGAAAGAAGGCAAATGACCGGCTGTCTGCAAGGAGTATAAATCCTTCCCTTCCCCTCCATCTTGTCAGAACTGAAGAAGCTTCCGGGATGAGAAGCGAAACGTCTTCAAAGAAAAACCAAAAAAGTCCAGTTGCCTCCTGAAAAAAAGCACCTTTGGGACAATTAAAAGGGACCTGGGCATTTTATTGGCCCCGGCCCACCTCTGGCCCTTTGGATGTCCCTGTCCATCCTGTTTGAGGTCAGTTGGAAATTAGAAGTCAGATACGCCACGCACGCAATGCCGCCTCATTGCTTTCATGTTGAAGGCAATAAGCACATTTGCCCAACGTGCTACTCGCAGGGGTAGGCAACCTTGGCTCTTTTATGACTCGTGGACTTCAACTCCCAGAATTCCTGAGCCAGCCACGCTGAGGAGAAAGGGAGAGGTTTCCAAGCTGAGCCAGGCTGGCTCAGGAATTCTGGGAGTTGAAGTCCACCAGTCATGAAGGGGCCATAGTTCCCCCACGCTGGCTCAGGAATTCTGGGAATTGAAATCCGCGAGTGATGAAGGGGCCATATTTCCCCCATGCTGGCTGAGGAATTCTGGGAGTTGAAGTCCACGAGTCATGAAGGGGCCATAGTTCCCTCATGCTGGCTCAGGAATTCTGGGAGTTGAAGTCCACGAGTCATAAAAGAGCCAAGGTGGCCTACCCCTGGCTTATACCCTGTGTTTGCCCGAAAATAAGACTGGGTCTTATATTAGTTTTTGCTCCAAAAGACACATTAGGCAGGGGTCTTCAAACTTGGCCCCTTCATGACTGGTGGACTTCAACTCCCAGAATTCCTCAGCCAGCATGGAGAAAACATTGGCCCCTTCATGACTCGCAGACTTCAACTCCCAGAATTCCTGAGCCAGCATGGGGGAACTATGGCCCCTTCATGACTCGTGGACTTCAACTCCCAGAATTCCTCAGCTAGCATGGGAGAACTTTGGCCCCTTCATGACTCGTGGACTTCAACTCCCAGAATTCCTGAGCCAGCATGGGGGAACTTTGGCCCCTTCATGACTCGTGGACTTCAACCCCCAGAATTCCTGAGCCAGCATGAGGAAAACTTTGGCCCCCTCATGACTCGTGGACTTCAACTCCCAGAATTCCTGAGCCAGCCTGGCTCAGCTTGGAAACCTCTCCCTTTCCCCTCAGCACGGCTGGCTCAGGAATTCTGGGAGTTGAAGTCCAGGAGTCATAAAAGGGCCCAGGTTGCCGACCCCTGGGCTCCAGTGTGCCTCATCCCAGAGGCAGAGAGAGAGAGCAGAATCCTCTCCTGCTGAAAAGCTCCGATCCAGAAAGCCCCCTATTGGAGGATTCCCTCATTGCTGCTCCTTCCTCCCCCTGCAGGCCAAAGCGAGGCACAACATCACTCTGGTGTGGGACCGGGAGGTGATGGACGTGCTGGCTGACGGCTACAACCTGCACTACGGAGCCCGCTCCATCAAGCACGAGGTGAGCTGAGACCGGCTTCCTTTTCTCTCCAGGCCCCCCTGGAGCTGAGGGGCAAGACCCCCGCCCCACCCATTGCTCCTTCCTTTTTTCCCCCCCTTTTCTTTTTTTGCATGGAGCTCATTGCTCACTTTTTCCCAAAGGTTCTGCACCAGAAACGTTGGGAAAAAATAAATAAATGTTTATTTATATCCCACTTTTTAAAAAAAAAATAACTGAAGGCAGCAGATGTACCTAATATACCCTTTCTCTTCCTTTTTTCCCCACATTAACCATCCTGCGAGGTGGGCAGGGCTGAGAAAAAGAGAGGGGTTGGCCCAAAGTCGCCCAACCAATTTTTTCTGCTAAGGCAGGACTAGAACTCACCGTCTCCTGGGGATTGGCCCAAAGTCACCCAGTTGGCTTAAGGCAGGACTAGAACTCACCGTCTCCTGGGGATTGGCCCAAAGTCACCCAGTTGGCTTTCATGCTTAAGGTGGGACTAGAACAGTGGTGGCGAACCTATGGCACGGGTGGCAGAGGCGGCACTCAGAGCCCTCTCTGTGGGCACATGCGCTGTCGCCCCAGTCCTAGGCCTCCAGCTGGGCTTTATAAAACCTTTTCACTTTAGGCCTCCGCCGCCGTGTGCAAAAAAAAAAAAAAGGTTCAATCAATCAGTCAATTTCAACTTCTCGCAGGAAAAAAAAGATCTTACAAAGTTCGAATTGATTGATTGAACTTTTTAGTCCCACCCAGTCTGCCATTACCACCGCGGCCACGCCCACCCAATGGGCCACGCCCAGCCAATGGGCCACACCCACGCGGTACCTGACGATGCATAAGTGGGTTTTGGGTTGCAGTTTGGGCACTCGGTCTCTAAAAGGTTCGCCATCACTGGACTAGAACTCACCGTCTCCTGGGGATTGGACCAAAGCCACCCAGCCAGCTTCAATGCCTAAGGCAGGACTAGAACTCAGTGTCTCCTGGGGATTGAACCAAAGTCACCTAGCCGGCTTTCATGCCTTAAAGAGAGACTAGAACTCACCGTCTCCCAGTGATTGGCCCAAAGTCACCCAGTTGGCTTTCATGCTTACACGGAGACTAGAATTCACCATCTCCTGGTGACTGGCCCAAAATCATCCAGTTGGCTTTCATGCTTAAGGTGGGACTAGAACTCACCGTCTCCTGGTGATTGGCCTAAAGCCACCCAGCCAGCTTCCATGCCTAAAGAGAAACTAGAACTCACCATCTCCTGGTGATTGGCCCAAAATCACTCAGGTGGCTCTCATGCCTAAGGCTGGACTAGAACTCACCGTCTCCTGGTGACTGGCCCAAAGTCACCCAGTTGTCTCATGCTTACATGGAGACTAGAACTCACCGTCTCCTGGTGATTGGTCCAAAGTCACCCAGCCAGCTTCAATGTCTAAGGCAGGACTAGAACTCACCGTCTCCAGGTGATTGGCCCTATGCCACCCAGCCGGCTTTCATGTGCCAATCAGGACTAGAACCTCGCTGGTTTTCTAGCTTTCCCAGCTGCTGCAGGGACTTAATAAGCAAAAGAAAGCGTCTTTCAAATCAATTTGCAATGATACACAAAGACATTCTGCCAATTTCCTACCAGGCGGGGGTCCCGCTGCCTCGCGGATATAAATTAGCACCCCTCCCTTCTGTCAATTCTGAGCAGAAAACCCCAGCTGACGGTCCCCTTGTCGCTTGGTTGGTTTTGTTTTTCCCCCTGAAATCTGAGATTTGGGGTCCTTGCTGGCTGGAAAACGCAGCCCGCGCGGCCGTTATCGGCCCCGGAAGTTGCCGCCTGCAGTGCCCGATTCCCCTCTCCGCCAGGTCGAGCGCCGGGTGGTGAACCAGCTCGCGGCGGCCTACGAACAGGACCTCCTGCCCCACGGCTGCACCTTGAGGATCACGGTGGACGACTCCGACAAGCATCTGCTCAAGGCCAGGGGTCAGGACATGCCCCTGCCCGCCGAGGGCCAGCGGAAGTGCCCCACGCTGCGCCTGGAGATCCTGGAGGACAGCAAAAGCCGGAAGCTGGACATCCAGGCCCCCCTGATGCCCGACGAAGCCTCCTACCCCTCCTAGGCGCCAGGCCCACGGTGCCCCCGGGGCAGCGCCTGGCAGAACGAGAGTTGGTAATAAAGCGATCCGTAAGACATAGATACGTCTGCGGGGGCGGGGAGGGCAGCTTTCTCTGGAGGGCAGCAGGAAGGGCAGCCCTCCGCCCGCCAGGGACTGCCTGGGCGCGTGGGAGTTGTAGTCCAATGCAGCCGGAAGGGGGTCTCAAAAGGAAGAGAGTCCCAGGAAGAGGGGCGTCCGTCTAGGGTGGTCCCGTAGAGTCCGTGGGAAGATTCAATCCGGGGTCCTTATCATGTCTCAGGTATGGGGTGAATCCTTGTCCCATCAGCCAGGTTGAGTGCCTAATCTCTGCCCCGGATGCTCTTCTGCCTTGTGAATTGGGGGGGGGTTCGGGGTGGTGTGGAGGTTGTTTCCAGCCCCCACGGTCATAAAGAGATTTAAGTTATTGCAGTTGTGTTGGAATAAATGCAGTGTGTGTCTCCGTGGTGTCCCTTGTCCTTTTGTCCACAAAAAGCCGCTGCCAGCTCTCAAGCAAAAGGGGGGGGGCTTTTGGGTCCCTGGATCGCTGCTTTCTTATCCTCCAATAGCGTCCCCTTCTGGAAATAACAGGAAGTCCTCCGCCTTACGACCACAATTGACCCCCGAAATTTCTGCAGGACGGTTCTTAAGTGAGCTTTGCCCCGTTTTACGGCCTTTCTTGCCGGCGTCGTTAAGTGAATCGCTGCAGTTACACGGTTGTTAAGTGAATCCGGCTTCCCCCTTTGACTTTGGTCGCAAAGGGGGGATCGCATGAAGCCAGAAGCCTGCAGCGGTCATAAATCTGAGTCATTTGTCAAGCGTCTGAATTTGGATCACGTGACACCCCCCCAGGGGGGTGCCGCAATGGTCGTTAAGTGTGAAGAACGGTCATAAGTCTGGTTTTTTCCTGCACCGTCGTAACTTCAAACGGTCGCTAAACGAACGGCTGTAAATCGAGGACGGCCTGCAAATGATCTGAAACGTTATTTTTGCTGATGTGCACCTTTGTGGGCGAATTTTCCCCTAACCCAGAAGGGGTCTCCAACCTTGGCTGGCGACTTTACGGCTCGTGGACTTCAACTCCCAGAATTCCTCAGCCAGCAGAGAAGAGCTGTCGAATAAGTACAGGACTTCCTGTAACATGCCCCTCTTCCGGAAATGCAGAATAACCGAACTGGAAGGGACCTTGGAGGTCATCTAGTCCAGGGCTTTTCAACCAGTGGTGCGGGTACCACCTGTGGTCCATTGGCACCTGGCAGGTGGTATGCGACCATCCTACAAAAGTGGTAGGGGGGAGGGGAATGAGCTGAACCGGTGGCAGCACCGCACAAGCCTGAGCGAGAGACGGCTGGAGCTGCAGGGCTGTCAGGGCTCAGCGGAAGCCCCAGGATCAGTGCCGCTTTCCAGCTGATCGGCGCTTCTTCGGGGCTGTCAGGGCTCAGCGGAAGCGCCAGGATCAGCGCCAGGCTCCAGCTGGAGCTCAGTGCTGATCCTGGCGCTTCTGCTGAGCCCAGAAGAAGCGCCGATCAGCTGGAATGTTGCAGCCTCTCCAGGGTCTTGTGATTTACATTCACATGCTTGGCAACTGATTCATATTTATGACGGTCCCAGTGTCCCAGGGTCATGTGAAGGGACCAAAACCTGCTGCAACCACCCAGCAGACGGGGAGGGGGGGGATAAAAACCAAACACCCCCCCACCCCACCCCCGCTGCCAATCCTCAACAGAAATGCTCACAACAATGGAAACCTCGGACAGGAGGAAGAGCGCGGCCGGGCGGGCAGGCAGGTGTCTTGCTCGGCTGTGGCTTGGAGGGCACTTTTTTCAGTGCCATTGTAACTTCAAACAGTCACTAAGCGAACTGTTGTAAGTCGAGGACTACCTGTACTTCATCACTTTTTTTCCTTTTTTGGGGGGGGTCATTAAGTTTTTGACCCCTTGCTAGGCGACTGATGGTCCTCGGATGTTGCCACATCCTAAAAGTGGTACAATGGGTGAAAAGGTTGAAAAGCCCTAGACTAGTCCACCCTGGGGTGGGGGGTCAGTTGATTTGTGTTTTTTAGGAATTATCACCAAAAATCCCGCCTTTCCTGGCCCAAGAGAAGGAGCTCAAAACTGGGGTAGGGGACAAAGACCCCCCCTGGCCAGGAGCGGCCGACAAGCTGAGGCAGGTGGCGGCTCTCAGCCCCCCCCCCCGTCCTCCCCCCCAGCTAGGCCAGACAGGAAACACGACCCAGTGAGCTACACAGTTCAGTCCTCGACTTACATCGGTCAACGGGGAAGCCAGACTGACTTTTAACAACAGTTTGACTGACTTAACAACAGCAGCGGTTCATTTAACAACAGTGGCAAGAAACGTAAAATGGGGCAGAACTCGCTTAAGAACTGTCTTGCAGAAATTTGGGGGGGGGTCAATTGTGGTCGTAAGTGGAGGACTACCTTTTTAAAACCTGCAAGGTCGTCAAATAGAGTTCTCTCACCATCGTCTTTACAGGCAGTCCTCCACTTACGATCCGCCGCTTGACCACCGTTCAGAGTTAGGACGGGCTTCGAGAAAGCTATTTAATGACCCATCCTCAAAGCTGCAACGCCCCCTCACACACAGACACAATTATGTGATTGCCTTTCAGGCACTGGGCTGTGGGTTGTGGGCTGTCTCTTCTCTAGCAGAACAGTAGGACAGTTGGAAGGGACCCTGAAGATCATCTACTCCGACCTCTACCATTCCACGTGACCCCTGGGGGACGCTGTGACCGTTGTAAATTTGAATCAGTTGCCAAGTGTCCAGATTTTGATCACATGACCGTGGGGAATGTGGCAACGGTCAGAAGTGTGCAAAATGGTCAAAAGACACATTTTTCAGTGCCGTTGTAACTTCAAATGGCCGGTAAGTGAACTGTTATAAGTCAAGGACTACCTTTACCTGTGTTTGATTTTTTAAGGAAGTCAGCCTCTGGAGCATAAAACAGGGAAGGATTAACTATGGTTATGGCTTAACCAGGATGAGGCTGGTCTTTGGGGTCTTTAAACTATAATAATAATAATAAAGTTGGAAGGGACCTTGGAGGTCATCTAGTCCAACCCGCTGCTCAGGCAGGCAACCCTATACCATTTCAGACAAATGGCTGTCCAGTCTCTTCTTAAAAACTTCCAGTGTTGGAGCATTCACCACTTCTGGAGGCAGGTGGTTCCACTGGTTAATTGTTCCCATGGTCAGGAAATGAAGTTGCTTCTCTCCTTGATTAGTTTCCATCTATTTTGCTTCTTGTCCTGCCTTCAGGTGCTTTGGAGAAGAGCTTGACTCCCTCTTCTTTGGGGCAGCCCCTGAGATACTGGAAGGCTGCTATCATGTCCCCCCTCGTCCTTCTCTTCGTTAAACTAGACATCCCCAATTCCAGCAACCATTCCTCGTATGTTTTAGCCTCCAGTCCCCTAATGATCTTTGTTGCTCTTCTCTGCCCTCTTTCTAGAGCAGGAGTAGGCAACCTTGGCTCTTTTATGACTCGTGGACTTCAACTCCCAGAATTCCTCAGCCAGCATGAGGGAAACTTTGGCCCCTTCATGACTCGTGGACTTCAACTCCCAGAATTCCTGAGCCAGCATGAGGGAAACTTTGGCCCCTTCATGACTCGTGAACTTCAACTCCCAGAATTCCTCAGCCAGCATGGGGGAACTACGGCCCCTTCATGACTCGTGGACTTCAACTCCCAGAATTCCTGAGCCAGCCTGGCTCAGCTTGGAAACCTCTCCCTTTTCCCTCAGCATGGCTGGCTCAGGAATTCTGGGAGTTGAAGTCCACGAGTCATAAAAGAGCCCAGGTTGCTGTCAGAATCCAGTTATATTTCATCTCTAGTTATCAACTATGGAAAACCCCATTTCTGCCCTCTCTGGATTCTGTCATACTACGAAGGGGAAGGGGGATAAGCAAACAGGTTTTGATGGCTCCCACTTCCTTCCTTACAACTTCAAAGGGACTGAATGTGGATCGCACCAAAAGGACTGATCATAACAATAGGGCCCATCAGCTTTTATCTACTCCTCTCTGAAGTTTCCCTTCCGCCGGCCGTGAGGAAAAGGGGGTGGAAATGGGATTGCCAGCTGGAAGGACGGTGGGGTGGGGGGGCTGCTTGGGAACACTTAAAACCTTGAACCGTAGGGCTTGGGCCCCAGGTCCTGTCTAGAACGCCTGCAACCATCTTCTCTTAATAAAGATGCCTGTTGGAAGAAATATTCCAAGAGTTCTGTCTTCTTAAGATGCAAAGTGGGGTGGGTCCTTACAGTTGCCTACCCCTGTTCTAGAGCCTCGCCCTCTTTTTTCCCCTAGGCCGCCTCTTCTCCCCCGTCTCCCAAGGTCTTCCCCACAGCCCACTGCAGTGGCAGAGCCGTTCGCTGCCCTTTGCCGAAGCAGCCTCTGGGCACGTGCAGAGATGCCCAGAAAGGCCACTTCTTCTGGGAAGGACCGAGGTCCCCTCTCCAGCCGCCTCCACCCGCCAGAACCGCCAGTCCGCCTTGATCGATGGCCGGCCAGCAAGCCGAGCTGCCTCCCATCGCCTGGCGCGGCGTCTGCCCATTGATTCGGCTTGCCTGGAGGTCCGGCTCCTAATCGGATTAGGGAGGCAGGATGGAGGAGGAGGAGAGGAGCAAGCGGGACGCGGAGGCTTGGGCAATGAGGGGAATTTATCATGTTCTGCTCTCCTGTGCCATTTGCATGGGCTCCTTCACGGGCGGGAGCAGCTGTGGCTCGTGGGGCTGAGGGTGGGTGGAGGACCCACAGATCCATCATCCTTGCCCGGAGTTGGAGAAAGTTAGTTAGAGGAAGCGAGAGAGGCTGTGGACCTCTTCCCGTTCGTAGGGTTGGAAGGGACGTTGCAGATCAATGAGTCAATCAATCTGAATAAGGCTGGAAGGGGGTCTTGGAGGTCTTCTAGTCCAGCCCCTTGCTCAAGCAGGAGACCCTATACCAGGGGTAGGCAACCTTGGCTCTTTTAT